AGGCCGGGAGTGAGCCGCCGGTCCAAAGACCGGCGCTCCCCGCCCAAGGCTCGGGACTTGAGAAATCTTGAGGGCATGCCTTCCCACTGGGACCTGGAGAAGTCCTTGCTCTGTCCATGAGGGTGATGACCAGTGAACAAAGAGGTTGGCCCTGCCAGTTTCCTAGCTGACGCACCAGATGCAACAGCAAGCAGAAATACCAAAATGACACCCAGGATTTGGAGGCAGATTTATTTACATCAATGCGCACTGATTGGGATCATTCCCAAAGTATTAGGCCCTGATCTCTGGTGGTCTAGGGCTTATACTGGATAAGAGAGCAGGAACTACAGAGGCAGAATGACTTGTCAATTGGAGATTGGTTTATACGATGTGCACCAGTGATCAGCTATGCATCACAGTGACCAGATGTTTGCTCCAGATCCACAGGAGCAACTGGATCTGTATTACCTGGGCAACTAACAATGTGAAGTATACTGGCTGCGGGGGAGCATTTTCTGCTACAAACTTACTGAACAAAACAATAAAGGGTTATTAAGAAACCTTATTAGCAATTTTAAGCAAGAAACATAACTATGTATTCTATATTTTCATTGTTTTAATGATATATGCACCCAATTTTTTTATCTCAGGCATTTTGTCCTTACAACAAGCAGCTAGCTCACACATGTTCCAGGACTATGGGTGATAGTTGATGAATAGTTAAGGACATATGTGTGAGCTAACTTCTTGTTATTAGGACAAAACACCTTAGATAAAATTATAAAACTAAAAAGGAGGAAAGTTTATTTTGGTTCACAGAATTAGAGTTTTCAATCTATGGTTGTTTGGCCCTGTTGCTTGGGTGCATGAGGTCTGCTTCCATCATGGTGGCCAGAAGAGAAAGGGCAGGGTCCCAGTATCCTTTGAAAGAGCATATCCCCAGATACCCAGCTTCCTTCCACCAGCCCCATTTCCCACAGGTTCCATCTCCTTCCGGAAGTGCCACAGGCTGGCAATCAACCCTTTAACAATTAGGCTTTTGGGGGATGTTTAAGATCCAATCTATAATGATATCTAATTTGTAAACTGATTTCAGCATCTCTAATAGGTTCTATTTATCATTATTTTCTGGTTCTTCTTGTATACACAATTAAGTGGAAGTATTCCACTCTGAGGCTACTATGAATTGAAATCTGACAGCTTATAATTTAATTGAAGAGAGAACCACTGCCTTTATATTGTTGTAAAACATTTTCATGTTAGCCTTATAATCACTAAATGGTCAAAGAATTTTTAATTTTTGCATTTCTGTTTCTTTCCATCATTTTTGTATACATATCTGCTTTCAACCACCTTTTTAAAAAAACTTTAAGATATAATTCACATGCCATGCAATTCATCCATATTTTTAGTAGTTGCACAAACTTCAAAATTTTAGAGTATTTTTATCCCCTATAAAAGCCTCATACACATTAGTAGTTAATGTCATCTCCTAACTCCCAATACCCCTAAGCAACCACTAATCTTTCTGTCTCTGAATTATCTTTTCTGGTTATTTTATATAAGTGGAGTCATAATGTATGGTCTTTTGTGACTTGTTTTTTGGTACCAGAAATCAAACTCAGGACCCTGTGCTTGCCAGGCAGGTGCTTATGCCACTGAGCTATATATCTGGCCCATGACTGGCTTCTTACACTTAGCATACATTTTCAAGATTTTATCTATGTGACAGCATGATTAGTACTTCATTATGTTTTATTGCTAGTAATACTCCATTGTGTGAATATACCACACTTTACACATCGGTTGACAGATGTTAATTTTACACTTTTGTGCTCATATAAATCATTCTATTGGCATTCATATGCAAGTTTTTATGAGTACATTTTTCTTTCTTTCATATACTATCTTAATTTGGGCTACTATAACTAAGTACATAGATTGGTGTATCAAAGATAAATGGCATTTATAATACCAATATTTTCTGTAACCCACTAGGAATTACTTACATCAACACCTGGCCTTCACCCTCATTCTATACAAAAACCTGTCTTGTCACACATTTGTAAATACATTTTTCTCTGGTGTGAGAAACTCAAAGTGTAAATAAGGACCAAAATGTATTATGGATATTGTCAAAAGGAAGAAAATGTTCAAATGGGAAGGGGAACTGGAGAGAGGGAAGGGGGAAAGGAAGGGAAAAGGAAAAATGAGAAAAGATGGGAAAAAATGGAAACAAAGCTTTTCTAAATAAGGAGGGGAAGACAGATTGAAGGGCAGGGAGGGGAATGGGAAAAAAAATCAAGTTATATCATGTATAGGCACAAATTCCCTGTGATGCAAGTGATCATTATGTATATCTAAAATGTACCAATAAACTTATTTAATTTTTAAAAAAACTTCATTTGTATAGATAGAATAATTGTTAGGCTAGGTGTAGTGGCACGCAGTTGTAGTCCCAGCACTTGAGAGGCTGAGGCAGGAGGATTGCCATGAGTTCCAGGCCAGCCTCAACTGCACAGTAAGACCCTGTCTCAAAACCAAAAAAAAGGAGAGAATAATTGTTAAGAGATTTTTCAGATACTTAAAACTTTTTTCTTGAACTAGGCGCACTGGTGCATACATGCAATCCATTATTCAGGAGGCTGAATGAAGAACACCAATCTGGAGTTTGAAGACAACCTGGAGGACACTATGCTGTCCTGGAGTTTGAGGACAACATAGAAAAACTGTCTCAAAAAAAAAAAAAAAAAAAAAAAAAAACCAAAACATAGTTTGGGGTTGCAGAACAGTGCAGAACAGTGATGGAGTGCATGCTTCCCATGACTGAGGTCCCATGTTCAGCCCCAGCACCAAAAAATAAAAAATAAAACTTTCTGTTCAGTCTGTTTCCCAGAGGAAACAGACACCTCCAAAATAAAGCAAATAAAGGCAACTTCAGAGCTCCAAGAAGTGACAACTGACTCTTTATTCATACTGTGCAAAACATTACTGTGTACAGCTAGAAAAGGTGGTCCAAGTTTGACTCTCACCATCTGCCCTAGAAGGCCATCAAACTGGTTTAAATTCACTACCTAGGACTGTCGTGGATAATCACAATCTTCCATTCCTCATAGCAAGCCAAGGGACTGTTTTGTTTAGTTAATGCCTCCTGTTGTACTTCTATTTAAAAAACAAAACAAAACAATGGACAGGTGGAACAGATTTTGACTAGGTTGTAAGTAGTTATGTGGCTATATAAAACAGATCTAGCTGGACAAGAGAACATGTTTTTATAGCTTGGTAATCTAGGTCAGTAGTCTTAAATTTGTGGGGTACACACTCTACTTCTATGAATAATCATTTTGCTTCTGATAACTGTATTGCAAATGACTGATGCTTTCTGCGCAGAGCACTAAATGCTGTTGTGCAGCCACTGTCAAGTCACAGCTCAACAGTGATAATTCACTAACAAGACCTGCAGGTCAACCACGGACCACTGAAAAACTGATGCACAATCAGGACCCACAGAGAACAATACAACCCAAGTTCACCACCACTCCAGAAGACAGTGGTCTAGCCTTCCATTCTTTTCTGAAGGAAGGCTAGGGGGAAACTGAAAACAACTTGAATAAAATATACAACTTGCAAAACTTTAACAATGTAAAAAAGTACTGGTAATCATAACAATTTTATTAAACAAAAGTGCACCTGGACATAAAAACTGACAACCAACCTCTCTTAATTGAAAAACCTCATTAACCATAAAAAATACTCCTAAAAGTAACTTTTTCATATTTAAAAATGTGTATTTGATGTTTTTAAAAATTTTTCCAATTTTGGAATGTTGATTTAACATTAACTACTCTAGCAAACTACGATGAAAACTGTGAAAAATTATACAGGCAACTGCCTTAAATATTATTGTGACTAGGCTTTATTTTTAGGTAAAAAATGATGACAGCCTAAATAAAATGTTTGCTTCATGAAATAGTATTACTTTGTCAAATTCTGTGGAAAACCTTATTGTAAGTAGCACTGAATATATAGATTTGATTACTTTAAGAAGTATTTTAAACTTATGATGGAAAAAAATCATTAAGAATGAGCATATTTTCATTTTTCAATATTTTTAAATTTTTAGTAAATATTTTCATGAGTTTCACAGTCCCTAAGCTATTTTCAAATTTAGGCTTCAGGATCCATTTGACTTCTTGCTTTTAAATGGAGTCATTTATCTTTAAAACACAACAAATCTCAAAATCCATTAAAAATTATTTTATTCGAATTATGTTTTCCAAAAGAGAGGGTTTTGTGCTAGTCGTCTTTGAAAATTTTCATACCTAGAAAAGAGAAACCATGTATTTATATGAAAATTTAAATAAGATCTTTCACAATCTATAAAATGACTTATCTCAACAACAATTTTACATGATTTTTTAAAAACTAAGGTAAAAAAACTAATCTAGAAGTTTAATTACATAAAGATAAAAAGCAGTTCGAGACAGTGGTTTAAGTATAAGAACAGTTCTGATTAGCTTTTAGAGTGCCCATATCATATGAATTTTAATAACTATTTATCTTCTGCAAATTAGAATGCTAGAAAAGGACCTAGGGAAAAAAATCAAATTCCTTTCTCATTTCATGGATGAGCAGATGAGAATAATTTGCTTGTCATGTAGCTACTTTGTGATAAAACTCAAACCTAAGATATCCCAGGGCTCTACATGATACTCTTTTCTCAACAAAAATATCCTTAACATCCCCCAACTGCTGATTTTAAAAAAACAAAACAAAATCCTCTAAAACAAAAACATGAAGAAGTTAGGGAAATAGCTGCAATAGCCACTTGGATTCACAGTGTCATATAACTCCCTCATAACCTGTGCACATTTTACTTTTGAGCAAAACTTAGAAGGACTACATCCAAAAATAAAATATATATACAATTACTAAAAGTCTTAATATTTGAGAAAGAAAACGCCTCATACCACTTCAGAACCACATTTGCTGGAATGAACATTTCAGATGGACTTGGTGTCATCTGGGCCTGAGAGACAGCAAATGATGAAGCAAAATTGTAGAAGTTGTCCAGCATCTTTTGTGTGAACTGGAAAGTTTAAAAATTGACAGATTAGTGGGTTGTATTAAATATTCCATTTAGACTTCTGCATTTTTAATAAAAAAAATACTCTTGCATTAACCTGGTTTTAAGGACCCTAAGTTCTGAAACAATCTAATGTTGAAAATTAAGAGCAGTCATAAAGTGACACAGTGTGTTGTTCTATGGACAGAAGGTTGCTTCTTTTCAATTTTTTATTTTATGTCCACATCTGTATCCCTATCCTCAAACCAACTCTCTTCAAATCAACCTATTTTCTCATATAAAACAGTAACCACCAGGAGTGGTGGCATATGCCTGTAAACAATCCCAGCACTCAGGAGGCTGTGTCAAGAGGACTGCCACAAGCTCGAGTCTGGCCGAGACTACACAGTGAGTTCAAGGCTAGCCTGAACTACACAGTGAGACTCAGTCTCAAAGAAAAAACAAACAAACCAACCCCCAAAACAGTAACGATCTCTAAGAACTCCTTTTCTTGACAAAGAGTTTAAGGATGGAGGAAACAAGAGAAGAGGGAGGGGAGGAGGAGCCAATTCTTTCTAAATCAAATCTATATATTCAGTGCTACTTACAATAAGGTTTTCCACAGAATTTGACAAAGTAATACTATATCATGAAGCTAAGCAAGCTGACAAAATTAAGGATACTTAGCCTATTTTGATGAGTAGAAGGAGGAACTTGGCCTACCAGCTATTACAACTTAACTGACCAATGAACTGAGATGAAACAAGAGAGGCCAGAACAAAACCTATATGTGACAATATGATATAGAACTCAGGGGGAAAAAACAAAGCTAACTGTTCAAAGAATGGGTTTGGCCCCCTAGTTTTCCATAAAGGAAAAAAGTTAACTTAAATTCCTTTCCTACCACACATAAACATTCAAAAAGTAAAACCTAAGACTTTATTTTTTTTTTTAATTTTAAAAATAAAACATGAACAGACAGACAACCTTTCACAAAACAGCAAAAGAACAATACAGACAATACAGAGTTACAAACAAAGTGGTAGGAAATTAACAATGCTTGTTGTATTACATATTGATATCTTCAAAGTGGTTCCTCATGAAAAAAACCTAAGACTTTATAAAAGAACATCACACATCAAGAAGGGGAAAAAAAACCACAAATTCATCTACATAAAAATGTGTTTGAATACACAAGATACCATGAGCAAATTAAAAGATAAGCAACATACCAGGACAAAACTACAATGTATATACAGAGGGTTATTACCCAGAATACAGAAAAGGTATCATTTCAGAAAGTTAAAATGAAAAACTACCAAAATACAATAAAAAATTACACAAAATGTTAAATTTCTATAAAATATGAAAAGATGTTCCACATCACTAGCAATGAATACAAATTAAACATGAAATTCAAATTCTCACCTATCAGTCTGGAGAAATTTTCAGGTTTGATAAATATTAGTGAGAATGTATGAACATCAATCAATATGGAAACTGACTCATTCATATAGTAGTATACTGTACAATAATTATAACAAATTAGATCCATTCCATGCATCAACAGAGCAAAATCTTACAAATAATGTCGAGTTAGCAGCAGCAAGTTGTATGGTATGGTACTATTTATACTCATTTTTAAAATGTGAAAGAATATAAGAGATGATCAAAATATATGGCAAATATTTACCTTTTAAAAAATGTATCACAGAAAGAAGGAGAAATTTTGTATGTATGTATATACAGGATAGTTAACATGGTTGTTCTTCTGTCTTCTATTTCTATGCTGAAAGAAACTGTCAATGAGTCTTTGGTTGACCAGTATTGCATGTTTATATCTGTTTTCACGAGAAGCCACTTCGAAGATATCAATATGTAATACAACCACCATTGTTAATTCCCTACCACTTTGTTTGTAACTCTGTGTTGTCTGTATTGTGCTTGTGATATGTTGTAAAATGTTGTATGTCTGTTAATGTTTCCCTCCTTTTATCTTTAAAATTAAAAAAAAAAAAAATGTATCACAATAAAAGACACATTGCCATCAATTCTCAAAATACTCCCCATCTTTTCAAACATTCCATCATTTTTGCCACATTCTGAAGTCCTCTTTTATCACACCTTTACAAGGTGTGATAAAAAATAAAATGAATGCCACTATCAAGTGTAATCTAATTTAGAAAGCCAGGTTTGTAAAAATATTATGGTATTTCCTCATCCACCTTATTCATCAGATCTGAAACCAAGTAACTTCTGATTCTTCACCAAGTCAAAATGACCATGAAAGGTAAATGGTTTTTTAACTGATTTAGGACATCAAGGCAGCCATGACAACACAAATGAAAACAGAAACGAGGACTTCCAGAACTGCTTCAGGAAGTAGCAATAGGCCAGGAATGGCGGCGCATGCCTGTAATCCCAGCACTCAGGAGACTGAGGCAGGAGGATCACCACAAACTTGAGGCCAGCCTGGGCTATATAGTGAGTTCAAGGCTAGTCTGAACTACGCAGTGAGACCCTGTCTCAAAAACAAAACAGAACAACACAAAAAAGTACCTATAATGATAGGATAAGTGTGTTTGAAGAAAAGAAGGTAGCATTTTGAGGAGAATGAGAGTGTCTTTAGCAAATTTTAAAAATTTTAAACATTCATATTTTTCAGTCATACCTCATACTGTATGTACATCAAAAAGGAAAAATAAAGGAACCAGAAGACAAAGGATTCAACACAGAAAGGAAAGGAATTTTTGTAGTCATTCCAGAAAGAAAGAAAATAACACCCTAAATACAACCACTCTACAACCCAGAAAATAATTAGTCCACAGCAGAACAACAAAAAAGAGAGTTTTAGTGGGATAATTCTAAGAATTAGAATGTAAAACTGATCTGTTTAAATGTACTGAAAGAGAATTTACATTCAGCAGCATTTGGGCACAAACTAGGACTAGAAACAAATCTGTGCAAAAGAAAAAAAATGGAGCATTTATTCCTGAGAAAAAAATGAAAAGTTATACAAGAAAATAAACATAATCATTGTACTATGCATGGCTCAATTCTGAAATTATTTACCCAGTAATAGTATTAAAAACTCTGAATCTTTTTTTGTGAATTTTAATTTAAGAAAATTCTATACTGGGAAAGTGTGTGTGTGTGTGTGTGTGTGTGTGTGTGTGTGTGTGTGTGTGTACTATGCCATACACATGTGTGCACGTAATAACAAGGGAGAGAGGCAAAGTCACCGTTTCATTCTGGTAATGCAATGGAAAACCTCTATACCAAAAGTCAGTGACAGACTTTTAAGTAAGCTGTATCTGATTCAAGAAAGTAACACCCCCCCGCCACAGAAAGGATGTGGTTGAAAGTGATTGCTCCTATGAAGCAGAACAGGAGTGCGAGGGTATAACTAGTCATCTTTGTAAAACAAGTACATGTACTACACTGATAAAAATTTAAATGAAATAAGAGTAACTAAGAAGTTAAATTAGAAACACATTTAAACTTAAACACAAATGTATTACACAAGTACTAAAATATGGATAGGAAAGATCTCTATAAATTGAGAGGAATAGCTACTTAGGAAGTAAAAAGGGATAAAAAAAGCAAACAGTAATGGGACATGCCTTTAATTCTTTATTTCTTCTTTTTAAAAATTAATACTAACGTCTTGGGATAGACCACATGCTTAGCAGCCACACAAAACTCTGGGTTCAATTCCCAGCACAAAAAAAAATTCAGGCAGAAGTCCTTGGAAGTCTTTGCATGCACTCACCACAAAGAGAATTTATGACAGTGTTACTTATTCATCTACTTCTTTATATCTATTTGTGCTTAGAAAATGTATGGCACAGAGAAGGTACATAATAAATATTTGTGAAATATTGTTAGTTTCTATACTTTCTATGTATATAAAAGATTTTATTAAAAATACATATGCAATGAAGCAGCTCAAAATTTAATTAATAAATATATATAATAAAAGTCTTTTTACCTTTCTCCAGGGATAATTCACCATTTGGGGGTATACTTTCCAGACACTTTAAAAATACTAAGTAGAATATTAAAGTCTTGCTTCAAAGTTTGCCTTTTTAGTTTATTTTTTTAAATTATTTTTTAAAATTAGTGCTGGAGATTGAACCCAGGATTTTGCAAATGTTAAACAGGCTCTTTACTACTGAGCTACACTCTCAGACCCTGAAAATAGTATTTTTGAGACTCAGACTCTGTCATTTTTAATTCAGTCTATTTTCAAGAGACCATGTGACATATCTGACTTTAAATTCATAACACAGAAACATATGTCTATGGTGCTGACCAGAAAACCCACCTATAAATGTACCCTAGTACATTCACTCTCTTACTCCTGGAGCACATATTTCACTGCCCTTTTAATGTAAGTTACCAATTCCTGCTTTTCTGCTGCTGGAATCAGGAGAGAACCCACACAAGTTGTCGCCACTTCTACCAATCTCCTGTACCTTATACATACAGTGCACTATCCTAGCTCAGGTGAACACCTCCACATATGCTCCTGTCCTCTACTCAGGGATACAGCTTTAAGAGTTTAGTTAAGCGGCACAGCGTTTGTGTAGCATTTACCAGGTTTAAAGTTTGATGATTGCCATCGCTAAGAGGAAAAAAAGATACTGCTTTAGTAATGCTCTACTCTCTCTAACATCATTAAATTTTTCCCTCTTGATATTATGCTAAGTGAAACAAACCACAGAAAGACAAATACAGTATTGTATAAACACAATTAAATGTGGAACCTAAAAAGATAAACTAGTAAGAGCAGAGCAGGATGGTGACGGCTATCAAGGCCTGAGGGTTGTAGGGGGAAGATATACGGAGATACGGCTCAAAGAAAGTAAAGTTTTTGTACAGCATAGAAATTATACTTAGAAATAATGTATTATATACTTGATATTTGCTAAAAGAGTAGATCTTAAATGTTCTCACCACCCCAAAAAAAGTATGTGAGATGATGAACATGTTAACAAGCTTGATCCAATCATTTCACAATGTAATGTTTGTATCAAAGTATCACCTTATTTACATAATTATAACAATAAAGCAAGCAGAAAACAAGAAATGAATGCAGTGTGTATCATATTACCTGGGTGAAAGAGTCAACTGAAGATACAGCAGCACTGCCTACCGGAGTCTGCTGAGCCAGACTGTCCAGTAATTCCACTGAAATTCCAATCTGAGCAACGGATGGAGTTCGGACAATATTCATAGCTCCGAAAGGGTGTTGGCTTCCTTCTCCTGAAAGAAATTAACACGTGCCACATATTTCAAATTTAACTTGTATTCATAAAAATAGCTCCATAAATATGTAAAGAGCCTATGTTCTAAATTTTCTTCGACGTAAGTTTGTCTTGGGCTGGGGATGAGGCTCAGTGGTAGAGCTCTTGCCTTGCATGCACAAGGCTCTGGGTTTGATCCGCAGCACCCCCCAAAAAAGTTTGTCTCTGTTCAGATAAATGCAAATGGCTTGTTTTTATCATATTAATGCATTGGTTCTCAGCCTTTTGGCTAAGATCAAGTGTTTATTGTATTACTGCAGAGTAAGAGTTAAAAGCTTCCCACAAGAAAAATAGCTGTTTTTCTAAAAGCAACTAAAAAATACTAAAGTTAAAAATAGTTAACAGGAAAGAAAAATGAGAATTAAAGACAGTGCTGGGAAAAGTTGAGGAAAACTATTTTAGAAAGCCTTACTATTCTCTGATTATTCCATTATAGAAAGATCTTGAGATTGCCATTCCACCAATAAACAATATGGGGTATTAACTAAATGCCACGGACCACCCCACCCAATACTCAATGTTATGAAATAGATGATACAGAAATTTGTATTCAAGAAAAATGTTTAGTAATTTCCCCTTTGTTCAGAGTGTATCACTGAGTATACACCTGACCTACCACCTTCCGTGCCAGCTCCCATCTCCATATGATTTTGAATTATGTCTTTATTTAATCCCTAGGAGGTTTAGCATTTCTGTCTGCTAACAATCATCTATTTTTGTTTACATCAGTTTTTGTCTTCATTTCTCCTGCATTTCTGAAAAATACTTTTGCTGAATACAGAAAATTCTTGACATCTTTTTTCCTTCTGCATTTCATAGTTTCTAATGAGGAATCAACTATAAGGACCCTTTATGTGATAAATTACTTCTATTGATGCTTTCAAGATTCTCTTTACTTTTAAGATCTATTATGAAACATCTTGGTGTGAAGTTTATCCTACTTGGAGTTTGCTGAACTTAAATGTGTAAAGTCTTTCATCAAATTCAGGATGTTTCTGGGTATTATTTTTTCAAACACTGTCTCAGTCTTTATAGGCTATGATTAAAAAAACATGCCACCAACTTGGCAGCATCTGAGCTGTTTATTCTTCACCATGCTGGAGGCAATCAAGGCATTCACAAATATGGGATCTGGAAAGAGCCATCTTTCCGCCAGACAGTGCCTTTTCACTGTGCCCTCGCATGGCAGAAAGGTGAAAGAACTCTCATCACCCTTTTGTAGGGGCAACAATTCCATTTACAAGGGTGCTATCTTAATGACCTAGTAACCCAAGGCTTACAGGCATGCACCATCACACCGGACTTGTAAATACATTTTGACAAACACCCCCCAGTTAGTCACTTTAGCACTAGAAAAGTTCCTAGTTGGAAGAGATAAAGACAAAACTTTTGAGGTAGTCTTCCAGGAAACACCACACAGACTAAAACAAGTAATTAAAATTCTTTGTGAATAAGGTTAATTTTGCTCTCTGAACCAATACCAAAATTGGAGCCTGCTGAGTAAAGGCTACCACTGAGCTGAGGAATAAGGAATACTAGAGTTAGGTTAAAATGCCACAAAGGTAAATGTTCTGACTGAGTTGCCATGGTTTTTCTTGATTAAATGTTCTCTGACTGCTTAAGTTTTTGGTTAGTTGCTAGAGTTCTGAAAAAAGCTGATTCTGACAGTTTGGGGCAGTTATTTTGTAGGTTTTTTGTTTGTTTGTTTGTTTTCCAGTACCAGGAATCGAACTCACGACCTTGCACTTGCCAGGCAGGCGCTGTGCTGCTAAGCTAAATCCCTAGCCCTATTTTGTAGGTTTTATAAGGGGATAGATTTGGAGTTCCTTGTCCCATCACTTTATTTCAAAGTGAGAATTATGTCAAGTTCAGAAAATGCTGTTTGTCTGTCTAACAGGCTCTAATCATCCCCGTTAATTAAAGAAGTTCAATATACCCTTCTGCTGCCTTCATTTTAACCACATAGGAATGAGCTGCCCAAGCAGAAAGGCTTGTCATTTCTGAATTGCATCTTTTAACGCACAAGTAAAACTGGTTAAGACTCACTGTATAAGAAAACATTCTGACTTTGTCTTCCATGTTAAAGCTCTCTGGCACTAGGACAACTTAAATGCGTGGAAAAGACACAAAAGTCTTCGAACAATCTTTAATATGTATTTTCAAAGATACTCACTAGTAAATCTTACTTTCAAACAGACCCGACACAGTAGTTAATACACGACAAATACAAAGACCCTTGATTACAAACCATAAAATAAAGTACTAGGAAGAAATATTAGAAAATAATATATATATTTACATTTAGTATTTATTTTGGATCTGAATTGATTTCATGATCCGAACACGTTCAATTACATTGTAGATCATTGTCAAAAAATTAAAAAACAGCAGAGCAAACAAAATATCTAGCACAATCTTTAAAAACAAAACATACATTAGAAGTTCTCAACAATATTGTAATAGTAAATGCTGTAGCTACTTTTCTCAAAGTATCCCTCCTCTATGTAAGTCAAGAGCCTAACACAAAGTATAATTTAGAGAAAGAATTCCTACAAGAAAAAGATACTAAAAAAGTCTAGAATGTCAGTACTTAAAATACAGCAAACAAAGATATTCCTTCTATGTGTTCCCTATTTTTAAATTACATATATGGCTGAAATGCGGCATTTTCTCTGAATACAACGGTTCAACCATTAAGGATGCCATGGAATGTATATGTCCATCTTATAAACCTCTTGAGATTTTTAATAGGTTCTAGCTTATGGTTGCAACTTCTTGTTCCTCTGGCATCTGCACTATCAAAATGCAATACCTGGAAGTGGGACATTTTGAAACCTGCTATTAATGGCTTGTAATTTGTTGAACTAAGGATGCTCATCTTATGTGATCCCTAACTTGCAAAACATTTTTATATTGACAAACATTCAACCCAGTGATTTTTCTCATTCCTACACTTATTTCCTTCTAGTCACCTTTGTGTACACATCCACTCAGCATCTGTCTACTTACAAACCACATCTACTCAAATCTGAAGCACAAATATGAGATAAAGGAATACCAGCACCCATCCTTTTCCTACCAGTTGAAGATGTTACAAAATACTGTAATAATTCTTTTTTCCTAAATAACTAAGTAAAATATCGTATTTTCTTTTGGTCCTTTCAAATGTACTGTTCAATCATTAATTATTTTGTTAAGAAAATTCAGAGGTAATCATCACGTAAAGATTCATAATCTGACATTTTGCTTTTATGAGCAATTTCACCACCATTCAGTCTAGAATACCTTTTTGTATTTGCTTTCTGATATGCCTAATGATTTCCTATCAACTTCTTTACCATTAAGAAGAAAGTGTAAATTCCATAGTGTTTTAATAAAAGCTAAAAGCAGACCACAAAGATGTCCTCTTTCAAATTTCAAGAAAGATGACACAGTCCTTTGAGCAGTGTAATACAAAAATTGTAAGTTAATGCAACAACAAATAAAGGTCCACAGGCCAAATCTGGCCCACAACCAACTTCTGTATGACCTGGGAGCTAAGAATGGGTTTTAAGTTTTTAAAGAGACTTTTTGTTGTTGATGTTGTTTTCGGATACTGGGAACTGAACCCAGAGTCTTCACACTGAGCTATAGCCCCAACCCTTTTTTATTTTAAGACAGGGTCTCATGAAGTCACTAAATTGCCTAGGCTGGGCTCTAAAAGTTGTGATCTCCCTGCCTTAGCCTCCCAGTGTGCTGGTATTACTAGTGTGCCTTCTACAGCTCAGTGAGAAGCCCCTGGAGTCAAACCTCAGTTAACACACACACAGAGTTGTTTAAAGAATAAGATGCCACAGAGACCATTTGAAGCCTGCAAAGTCTTAAAAATATTTACTATCTGACCATTCTTAAAAATGTCTGCTAACCTCTGCCCTAGGAAATTTCATCATTCTTCCACTTTTCTTACTGTTTTGGCCCTATTCCTTTTAACATAAATGAGAATAACTGATGAATAATAATAAAATAATTTCCTGGTTGAAATAAAATATTTCAAGATACAGGAAAAATAGTATTACTAACATCCTGATTCTCATCTTAGATTTAAAAACTGATGCAGTGAACACAAATGGTAATTGCAAAGTAAGATGAGGATTTTTTATCTATTAAAAATACATAAATAGGGGCTGGGGATTTAGCTCAGTGGCAAAAGCGCCTGCCTGGCAAGCGCAAGGTCATGAGTTTGGTTCCTGGTACCGGAGAAAAACCAAAAAAAA